TTATATTCTGTGTGGAGCTAAAAGAAAATAAATGTTTGGATAAAAACTACTCCATTCGTCGACTGATGTCTTCAAGCTGCAACATTTACATCCTAAAAGATAATCTGCTCTATGTTGCTGTTTACAACCACGTTGAAGGCCCAACAAGGCTTGTACATACGGTATGCCAAATAGCCATTGAAAAAGATTAGAGGAAACCACAAACATTACAGATTACTAGTCTATTTGTCAAATTAGCAGTCGTCCACAAAAATGACTTCCTGTGAAAAAATCCGTCAAATTAAAACTAGCTCATTCAGTGACTTCATTCAAAACGCTGAATGAAAACGAATTTTCATTTAATATTAACATGTTATCAGAGGGATATGATCACAAGTGAAAAAGCAAAATACATTAAGGGTAATTTTAAAAAGCAACAGTTGTCTTTAACTCGCTGAGAGGACTTGAAACGCGAGTCCGTGCTTTTATTTTGAAGGCCACCTAGGAGAACTTCCGTAGCTGCAGCTCACGAGCAGCTCAGAGTGGTGAAAGTGGTGGCAGACATTGTTGTGGTTAACGGTTCAGCTCCGGAGGATGAGCAAAGAGATCAGCCACCTGTGATGATCGGATAACGGGTCGGGTCTGGACCGGGTTCGGTTCCGTTTTTCAGCCTCCAAAGAAAGATAACAAAGAACAATTTAAAGAATAAGGAATACCGCGTCGCCTTCAGGAGAAAACGCTGCCGCACCGCGAGCGGAGACCTGACTTCATTCAGCCCAGCCGAGCGGAACGCAGCCCAATGAGACGACGCCACCGACGTGAAAAGAAAAAGGAAACATCTTCAAGCTGCTGGAATAAATAACACTCTGTGATCCACGGGGCCTTTGGAGGAGGGGGAAAAGGCGGCTGTTTTGTTGGACAATACGCCGCATGGAGAGGAGGGGAAACACGGACTGATGTGCTCCTGGAGGAGGCCTCTGGGAAACAGAATGACAGACTGACATTAACTGCTGCATCTTCACACACGACCTCATTAGGGCAGTAAACAACTAAAGGGCATATTTTAAAGTCAGGGCGCTTTGAAGAAAACCGTCTAAATAAGGACTTTCACACATGTTTCTGCCTGCCTGTTTGCTCCGGAGCTCGTGACATCTGGACCTCGGTGGATGAAGATGGGGATGTGAGAGGACCTCTCTGCATTAAACAGCCACGGGTCTATTCGCTCTCAGGGACGCGTAGTTTCTGTGTTTTCTTTAGTCTAAAATGGGCAGCGAGGGGGAGGTGATCAACAGGGAGCTGTCGAAGGTTTCTGATGAAGACCTGCTGGAGTGCACCAAGGAGGAGCTGGTCAGCCGGCTGCGCAAAGAGGAGTCGGAGAAAATCGCGGCTCTCATCCAGCGCGGCCGTCTGATCAAGGAGGTGAACAAACAGCTGCAGGGACACCTCCTGGAGATCAGGGAGCTGAAAGTCATCAACCAGCGCCTGCAGGAGGAGAACGTGGAGCTGCGGGACCTGTGCTGCTTCCTGGACGACGACCGGCTCAAAGTGAAGAAGCTGGCGCGGGAGTGGCAGCTGTTCGGGCACCACGCCGCCAAAGTCATGCGCGAGGACCTGGGCGGCTACCTGAAGAAGCTGGCCGACCTGGAGCGCATGCAGGACGGCCTGGTGAAGGAGAACCTGGACCTGAAGGAGCTGTGCCTGGTCCTGGAGGAGGAGTGCGTGAGCAGGAGCGACTCCAGCCCCGGCGGGTCCACGGAGCTCAACCTACCCTGCATGGTGGCGCGGGATCTCGGGGATGGGAGCTCCAGCACGGGCAGCGTGGGCAGTCCGGACCAGCTGCACCTGGTGTGCTCGCCTGATGACTGACGGCAGGTCCAGCAGGAAGGCCTGAAGAGAAGGACGTGGACTAGTTAGTGGTGGAGACCATAACACACTAGGGCTTTCTGATTGCTGCAAAATATGTTTGCCACAACAGGTTTTTTTGACTAAACAAAACATTTCAGGACCTTTCGAAGACTTTTAATAGATGTTGCCAGATGAAAATCTAAATTTTACAGTGTTTTCTAATGATTCTGTATCTCCTTTTTCAGTGCTCGGCTGGGGGACCAAATAAGTGGGTCACATATATAAATTTATCTCATGCACTGGACTAGCCAACACTGTTCGAAGCCTTTTTTTCTATATTGCACTGGAGAGCATTATCTTGGATCTTTAAAGGCACTCATTGAAAAATCATGCATCGAAATCTACGCTTTTTGTCATATGTCCTTAAATTAAGAATTTGTAAGCGAAGTTTCTAAATGGCTGCCAACTTTTGTTTACTTACAGCTGGAGTGACTAAAAATAGATCAACAGTGTCCATGGAGGAGCCACTTTGGATTGAGAAGTGTGGCAGGTTAGATGTGTTCAAGTAACGTTTGCAGATAAAAAGACAAATCAGGTGAGCGCTATTATTTTTGGCATCTGTTTTTAGGTACTTTCCCGATTCCACCATATTTGTTAACCATCACAGATTATGGCCGACCTAATCTTGGCGATAATCGCGTGACTCAAGCTTTCACGTGGTTTTCAGCCTTTGTTTACACTGACTGCATACCTGCATTTCAGAATTGCTCATCAATATATCTGGGAAAACTACTGGAGTAAACTCTTTCTAAAGTTCAGGATGACCTTTTTTATGTTGGATTTCATTGTTTGCAATGAGTACCTTTACATCAAAGATCCAAGGATGAATTTGAATCCAGTTTTGAGCCATATTTTAGTCCACTGAACTCCAAAGAGCACTGACGGGGTTGTGACAAACACAAGATTATTTAGAGTCTTTTGCTAAGGATGCCCTGTTTAATAAATATTTTATGCACTCACTTCCTCAGGACAGGATCGGAGTGACATACATGCATGATGGTTGTTGCCGTTTTTACAGCGTGTTCATTTGGGGAGTTAAACCTTACTCAGAGCTGTAAATAAAATAAAGATGAGTCACTTCTTAAGAAAGGAAACTCCAACTGGAAACTCTTTGTATCAAACTGGAAGGTCTAAAACATTGAAATGATTTTTATTCTCTTGGAGCCACTGATTCCACTCCTTTGACTTTTTTACGATGTTTAGTTCACAGTTTTTTTTTTCTTCTCTCTATCTTCTGTAACTTTGTATTTATTCTGTGACTTTATAGGGATAATCTGATCTTTGGCCCTTCTTTATCTGTATTATATAGCATTACTAACCATTTTCTGTTTAAACCTGGATTAGAGGAGATTTATTTTGTAGTCAGTTGTTCATTGGTGCTCATATTGCACTGGAGGAGCTTTAAATACAGTGGGTATATGACACCCTGCGCTGTTCTGACCTTTCTTTATGTGTTGCAGAAACAAACTTTCACACGTATGATATGACAGATTGATTTGACCTTAATATCTGAACCGGTTTCACTCGATTAATGGCGCCTGCATGTCAGCTTGGATGATTTAGCAGGAGGTACACTTTATCTGTTTTGTAGCCGAGAGTCGGGGAGCAGTCAATAGAGTTTTCCAGTGAAACGTTGCCCTCATCAAACACTTTTACTCACTGCCTTGAGTGATTGTCAACGTCATTGATTATTCTAACACCTAATTTCTTGGTTAACTAATATCCTCTGTCGAAGATGCCCCGTGCAACAGTTTTCCTCACGATAATGTTTTGTCCCGTCTGTTTGCATGAGCCACAGAATCTATTTTGATGAAACTTGCAGAAAATAATGATTTAATGTAAAACAGATTTTTTTTTTTTGGAGTGAACTTAATTCAAGATGGCCGCCACAGCCGACCAACCTACGACAACATAAAAATAACAATAACTCTGTCAGTTTTTGACACTTTACAAAATGGCATGTTATTTTCATGGTTTGAGCAAAACAGCTACAACTCTGTCATTTCTCAACATCAGTGTAAAACTCTGACGTAAGGAGGATATGCATTCCTTTTGTTATTGTTTTAAATCACTGCTTCATAAAGAATACAAGACATCAGAGTATTTCTTTTTTACACTCAAGTGTTTTTGATTTACAATATAACTGAGCTGATAAAACAGAAAAACCTAACAGAAAAACAATTACACAAAATACGTGAAAATGATGTTTTAAACAATAAAAAATGAAAACCTGCATCTTAATTTATGTAACATGAACATATTAACAAATACTGAACATGTGACATTTACACTGAGTGCCACTGTGCTTACAAATTACCCAGGCAGAAGAAAAAGTAGTTCTCACCAACCGAGTATGATTTAGACAAGATTTCAATAATTTAGTTACTCTCCACTGTGTTCCTGTTAATGATATACATTAATGACTGCAGTATGGATTCTAGAGTATAAAGGTCTGGTATTGGTAGTATAGATGCTTCAGTATCGATCGACCTGCACTAGTGCAGAGTGAGTACAAATGAGGAAAATTGACAAGTCACCGATCCTTTAATGAGCTAAATATTAGTATAAAAATCCCTTTTAAAAAATTACAAGAAAGTCTAACTTATTAGAAACAAAATATAATAAATAAACTGGGGAAAACGCAAGACTTTTACCCAGTGTTGAATGTCTACAATAACTACATTTTTATTATCAAAAATCCAAAAAAGGAAAGTTTCTAAATAAGCCTAAACACAACAAGATGTACGTTCTGTTGAAATCAAACAAAATAATATTGCTGATTAATGAGTTATCTTTATCTCTTTAAGTCCAGATTGTACAGTTTAGTTTGATCTGATATTTCAGTTCTCACTGTACAAAGCGGGCCAGAATTCAAGACTTGGCCCAGTTTTTGGCCAATTTCAAGTTTTATTTGAAAAATGTTATTTAACAAAGTTATTCCCAACAAATTCACAACATATTGTGATTTGAAAATTATATAAGTTAATTTTAAAGAAATACAAGTGACTTATTCCTAATTGTTTTATTAAGCATTTAGAACTTAACATATAAAAATAATTTTAAAAAGACTCAATTCTTATTTTTTTGGACATACATTTTATCACAATCCATCAAATCAGGTAAAAAGAATCTTTAAAATGAGATAAAAAATACAGAAAATTCTAAATAAATTAAATTCTCCGTTGCTCTTTCCACATGAAAATCAAAGATTACTGAAAAATCCAATCTTCATTTTCTAGTCCTGAAAGTGGACCTGTCATGAGAAGAATGCACTAAATCCAGTGACAAAAAGAGAAATATTTTACCTTTTTATATTACCTTTGGAACTGAATAAAATGTTAGAGGGCCAGAGTTGGCCCCTGGACTTTACACGTGCTTTAGACATTAAAATGATTCAGGCATATTTATCAGATTCCACCTACTTTAATTACATTTAAAATATATTTAAATGTATTTTAAAATACATTTAATCACTACTAGTTTTGTTAATAAAAAAGAAATAGAAATAACAACAACTTTCCACAAAGTATTGTATTTATTTATTGAATTAGTACTTTTTTTTCACAAAATATAAAAATAAGGCACTGCCCACATATGCAGGAAATTCAAACATTGTCAAAAAATATATTGCACTCTTTAATAAAATAAATAGGTTATTATATAATCTCTATTTTCTACGGTCCAGCCTAAGTTATAAATTCAAACAAAACAATAAAGATATTTTAGTTTTGAGTACTTTATTCCTTGCTGAGGACTTTAGACAAGTGTTAAACATTATCATAAAAATTGCTTGATGCTGAAATTTGTAGTTCTTTTTCTTCTTAGAAATAACTACGTTATTATTTATCATGTTTTTTTCTGCAGGTAGTAATACAAACAACTCAAATATACATTCATGTCATCTTATAGCTTTCAAAACTAGAAATATATGAACTTTATATAAAAAAACTAAAGAGTGTAACATCTTGATAATGCCACAGATTTTCCTGTCATCAAAGAAAAAGAATCAACTGCCTTCTGAGATTAAAGGTACACATTGTAATGTCATGAAGAAAATACAAAGAAAAACAAAAAAAAATCCACACATTTTTTTAATAATAGTGTGTTCTTGAACATAGTTTGCAAACAACTGTCTGCCACGTAGATTTGTTTATTTATGGACACAGCCATAGTGTCTTCAAATAGCTCAACAATGGTGCTGTTTTGTCTGATTCTGTATTTATTCCCTCTAAACCTCAGCCTAATGTAGGTCAGTCACATGAAGCTTCCATGTGGCGTTTAGATTCAGTCAAGTGCTTTGTTTACTTTGAGTGCCTACCCGCATTTCAGACGAGCGTATTAAAATATTTGGAGTTTCAGACTGCAGCACTTATAGTTCAGGAAAATCTTTGTAATGTCTGAATTCACACTTTGCAATGAGTAGCTTTTAAACGAAGCAACCGATCATCTTGAAATGCCTATTTTATAAATTACCATTTCCCAGAGACCCTCGGTGTCGCTCTGTTGTTTGGCCTGAAAATGAGCGTTAGTGTTCCGCGCAGCCATCACAGCGTGAGGATGGTCGGGGAGTGCAGGGAGTGATCCGACTGGTCGCCGCTGCTGCTGCTGCGGCGGTGAGCGATCCCGCAGGGCTGTGGGGCCTGGGCCTGCTGGTGGGAGGTGCCATGAGGCGTGACGGAGGAGCCGGGGTCCGAGGACGCAGACGGGTAGGTGAAAACCAGACCAGCTGTGGTGAAGGAGAGGAGGGACGGCGTGGAGGTGAGGACCGGGGTGTGGAGCGACTCGGATTCAGAGATGGCCAGAGAGAAGGGTGATGTAACGGGCCTGGTGGGGATGGTTATCCTCGGTTTGGGTTTCTCCATCTTCACTGGTGGTCTGGTTGAGGGTCCAGGTGGGCTGGATTCCTCTGGTTCTAATTTGATGGCTCCCAAGGATGAAATAGATGGATGTGGGTCAGAATCCGAATCAGAGTCCTCTATTTTACAAATGGGACGGTGGGCTTCCAGGACCAGCTCCAGCTTCTCCTTCTCCTTTTGCAGTTCGGCTATTTCCTTCTGCAAACGTGACTTTTCATCCTCCAGCTCGTCGGTCTCCTACAAAGACAGAATCAGATCCAGTCACGCCTGACTGAGAGGTTTTCTTTTTGTTTCATGAATGAGCCCTCTGACGCCTCGTGCAACGTCTACTCACGGTCTGTAACGTGTCCGTCAGCTCTCGGCGACGGTTGCGACACTTTGCTGCTGCCAGCTTGTTCCTCTCCCGTCTTATTCTGCGTCTTTCCAGCTCCTCTGCAGATAGCTGGGACAAGAAGATGGAAATGATTACACCCGTCTGTTTTAATGACGGGAGTCCAACAGGAACATGTATCAGGAGCGTTACCACCACCCTGTGTGCACGGTGAGTCATGACAGTCATGACGGCTGAATTATTTAGCAACATCTTGAATCTTTTGTGTGTTTGATATGTGACACGTCTGACTTTACATCCGACACCCTGCTGAATAATTACTGCAAAACCAATCGTTCCCGCCTTTTTGGGCCTGGTGACTCAGCATCAGACCCCTGCGGTGACTCAGGTGTGAGTCACAGAAAGTGACTCGGTCCCTGTGAGTCACATGACAGTGAACTTCCTGTACAGTGAAATTACAACTCTGTGACCAGGGTACATGTGCCCAAAAAACAAGTAATTACATTCCACAGGAACACATGTCTTTGCTATTTAGGCTTCAAAACAGAACTGGTTTTTGATATGTACTGCTCTGATTATTTTCTTTTAGTTTTTCTGTCAAAAACAGAACAGATTACTAATAAAAAAAACATGTTTTCTTCTAGAGAGTAAACAGTCCTGTTTTAACAGCCTGAAATGATAATAATTAGAAAAAAACATTTTGTTTATTAGCATAATTGGTGAAAACACTGATATTGTTTGATAATTAAAGGGAAATGATGTATTCATTTCTGTAAGGATTACAGGATATTACACACTAGTTACACAGACACGACTAAGCCCAGAAAATAAACTTTTTTTTGTAGAATAATAGAAACAAAAACGTCTTTCAAAAGGTGATCCTGGAGTAAATTACCTGTTCATCGTTCCTGCGCCTCGCGGAAGGTGGAGTGTTTGAAGCAGCTCGTATCACCCCGGGTCTAAGGATATGGGACTGGGAAGGTGATGGACCCAGTGGACGTACCCCCAGGTGGGCCGGGTAAGGGGGTACGGGGGATCGGGATGGGCCTGGAGGGTGCATGAGGGCCGGCTGAACCAACCACTGGAGGTCCTGGTTTGTTGTGATGGCGTTAAGGCTTGGAACGAACTGACTGCTGCCCGCCATTGTGAATTTCTAGAGCAAAATACACACAAATTAATCAGTAATTAATAAAATGGTAAATATATGAATCATTGCAGCATTTGTCATTGATAACAAAAGACTAGATTAAACTATAGTGTCATTAAAGTTAGATAGAAATTGTTAAATTATAATATATGGTAAAAGATTCCATACAACTTGTTTAATATAACAAAAACACAACATTTGTTTTATGATAATAACATTATAAGCTATAATTTACTGATTAATTTGCAGATTGAACCTGTTGCCTGGTCTGATTAAAGCACACCTACCTGCTCCTGCTGTGTGGTCGGAGTACCGGTGTTTCCCAGGGATCCAGAACCGGACCCGTTGTAAGGAGGGTTCCCTCTTCCTTGATTCCCAAAGTTTCGATACATCCTTTCAGCTCCGGTTAAAAGAAAACTGAGTCCAACTTCTGGTCCTATTTATTCCTGTATATCAGAGCTTACTTTCGGGATGAGTCGCATGCGTCAGTTCAAACTCCGGGACAAGCCCACCGGTGTTGCCGTAATTCGGTAGAGTCCAAGCGTTTTCGTCTGGAAGGGGCGCGAGGAAGACTACACCGTTTTACTTTCTCCTCGGATAAACCTCAGACCTCCAAAAATTGTTTTCGCTTCACCTCTCGCTCCTTAGTCACTCACGTGAAATCGGAAGTCTGGAAGTAATTTTCAGGTTGTAAACTCTTAAAGGGAGACTGTTGGTCCGCCACGCCCCTCTGTAGTTACGGGAAATGCTGTTGTCTGGAATCTCTCACGAAAAGCAGCACGTGGAGGTGACGTCATTGCCCATATATGGCGAGTTTCCTCCTAAGAGTCACACCCGGGATTCCTCGGTGCGCCTTCACCGAAAACATTATCTAATGTGGTGAAGGAAATATTGTTGTTACATTTTACCGCTAGAAAACGAACCATGTTCGTTTAAAAAACGGATTATTGAAATAAAAATTATTTTTATACTCAAGGAATAAAAATAATTTTGCCCTAACTAATTCTCATTCTTTTGGAGAGTTTGCAACTTTGAACTACTCTAATAAACACGAATAATTGTCACTTTGTGAGACATTATTCATCTTAACTTATTTAATTATTTAACATCATTTGAAGTATTTAATTAGAGAACATATTGTACACTATTTTAAATTTAAGTCACCATTAAAAATCTTCTAAATGATTCTCAGCTATTACCACATTTAATTTTAGCACATCTTTTTAAATTTACTGAACTAATATTTTGTGTTGGCTAATGTAGATTAGATGCGGCAGCGATCTTAAATTGGTTTAACCTCAAATAGTATTGAATTGATGTAAATTCAACAATAACTTTCTAAAAGTTTTATTAAAATCTGTCATTTGGTTTATGAGATATTTTGCTAACAACCAGGGTTGATTTTAATAGTTAATGCTACAGTTTTAGGCAAAGATGTGAATGACTCTCAGCTTCTACCACACCTAATTTTAGGTGAATGTGTAAAATTGACAAAAATATATTTTTTATGTACGTTAGTTAGTTGGCTATGATGGTCATCTTAAATCGGGTTGACTCTGAACTCTGTAGTGATGGTACAACCAATGGTTACTTTCCGCAAGTTTCTTTAAAATTCATTCAGTTCATGGAATAATTTAATAACCGACACACAAATACATTTATGAACAAAAAACACAATTGTCCACTTTCCCCTGGATTGAGTAACAAAGAATATGTAATTAGTAATAGATGGTACACCCACTTTAATTACAATATTGTAGCTCAGTGGTTTCTAAAATTATTTATGTGCTCCACTTCAGAAAATACTAAGTTCTCCAAGCATTATGGCAGACATTAAAAACAGTAGTACGAGGTTAAATATCTAAAAACAAGCAAACGGACAAAAACCCCTAAACCTCACCCTGTTTAAAGGGTGTGGTTTGAGATTCATGCAATCATTGCAGAGAACATGTGGTCTTAGCTCCTCGTTTGTGCCACAATTGAGTGTAAATATGAGAAACCTTGAATTTTCTTCCCAAAACTTCCTTCAACTACCACTAATTGGATCTTGAGAAGCATTTGAGTACCGCAGTCTTATTCTTACTACATAAACAATGAGTTTTATATCTGAAACAGATTCCCTAAAGCTGATAAATGAATGTAATTTAGTGCAATAAGTTGTTTATTTTTCTACAATTACTACTAAAACTATATTTTAAATTTATTTGACTAACAGATTAATCTGTGACCTAAAACGTCTGGCAAAGATGGCAACGAGTGAAGGGATTTTTGGAAGCTATTCTCAATAAACCTCATCAATGAGCACACGTTCGTGGAAATGAGTCAGCTGAATGGTACCTAGCTGCCTAGCTGCTAAGTTATTTCACCACCCGCCTAACTTCCTTTTTCCCCCCTTTCTTTTGAAAGCACGTTTTAGTGTGCGGTGAAGATTTAAAAATCGCAGAGTGCAGATTCAGTCGGTTTAGTCTGTCACAGCAGCTGCTGACCTTGCAGTGCCCCAACTCTGCTGAGGACAGAGTTCCTGGCATCGGCTGCTTTCTGCTCCCGGCTCCGCTGACTGTTGCACCCGTGTCTCAAATTACTAATCCAACTCCAAGGATTTAGTGTTGTCAATAAGGTGTAAAGAAGCTAATTACCTTGACCACACACAGGACACTGAACTCGAACATCTTCAAATGTTTCAGTGAATAAATAGAGCAAACAGAGAAGTGCTGAAGGTCAATATGTGTGACTCATTGAAACTTCTGCCTCGAGGTAAATGTTTCAGGTTTAAATGTTATAACAATGATGACACACACGCCGAGCGCTTTGTTTTCACTGCCTTTGATAGCGTCAAATTGAATTGAAAAAATAGGGCAGAGTTGAACGTAAGGTGACTAAACCTTCAGGAATTCAATGATGAGGCACACGTCTAAAATGAGGACATGCTACAACACGTTCCTCTGATTACACCTGTATCACACCCGCTTCTTTTATTCTAACCTGGAAAACTGAGCTCACATTACATCCACGCAATATTTTCTTGTGCTTTAGTGACAAAGCCTGAGCGCGGCAAAAACAAAAATGACCACGTTTTCTGAGGCGTGTGGAATGAAGGCCATTTGGATTCCAGTATCGTTTACTCATCCTAAAAAATCTCAACATGTTTTCACCCACTTCCACCCACACATCCATCCCACACACACACATTCTTCACACAGGCACACACACACACACACACACACACACACACACACACACACACACACACACACACGCTTTAACTTATTTGGCTCAGTACATGTTGAAAGTCACGCCTTGATAATTTAGGCCTACACACAGCAAACAAAGATAATCTGTGACTGTACAGGGAAGGTACTGATTGTCCAAATCATGATCTCCAGGGCTTTTAATGTGAAAGTGTTGTTTAAAATAAAGTAGCTTTAAGTTTTTTTAAATATCACCCCAATGCTTTTGAATATGTACTTCATTATTTTTCAAAACATTGCTTTTAAAAGTACACTTGCCTTCTATATTTGCTAATGTAAACACAGATAATAACCGCAAACATCATTTGTGCTTCAACAAATCTCATCAGGCTACATTTTCACCACAGAAGTTTTAATCGTGTGAGGTTTTAATGTAGCGAGTTTCTATCACATTAGTCAGAGTAAAAAAAAAAGTTTCCCAAAAATATGTAATGGCTTTAAAGTAAAACTGCCCACAGTGAGAAGACCTCATGCATAACTACCTCACATTTCCAACTTTTACAGATGTCCTAAAAAAGTGGAAATTATTCCAATTAAATGCAAATGTGAATTATGTTCCTTTTGGCCTTTCATCCTTGTGGTTTTCGCATCAAACTGAATCTCTGCATTTAGCTTCAATATTTCAAGTGAGATAAACACAATTTTCTCACGTGTGCAAGATTTTCCGTTTTGAGTCGTTGCAAACTTAGTAATGTAAACATTTAAATGACTAACAAGTGAGGTGCCTCCAGAAATGTTTGGGTCTGGGGGCCACTGAAAGTATTGTTCAAAACATTTTTTGATGCACCAGTTAACTAGTAAGGTTGAAACTTGCTTAACATTTAATTAACACGTTGAAACCAACTAACTTTCAATGGTATGACTGATGTTATAGTAAATATGTCTTACTAATTAGTAAACATTTTAGACACACTAAATAACTAGAAGAACTTGGAGAGTGCAAACCACCAAAACCCTTTGTTGTACAACTGCATGTGCAGTTGCTGAGCTGTGATTGGTGGAAGAAAGTCCTTTTGGATGCTGATTGGCTGCCACAGTATGACATCATCAATAAAAGAAGTCTTTGGCTCTGTTCTCTGTTTTAATTTTCTGTTTGTGCCAGAAGGCAGCAAGCTGCAACTCTGATGTTGTCAGATCACCACCAAAATTTAATGAGGTGTTCTTTATGACGACCCCATCTTGACCTGAAAGTTTTAGAAAATTTTGTCCAGAACATCTTGTGCATGATAAACAAACACACAATGCTATGTAACTTGTAAACATATTTGCATCAGTCAAATAGTAATTTCATCACTTCATCATGCCAACCAGTCCCAGTAAGCAGAAATACTAGTTTTCACAGCTGGTTACAACTAGTTTGATCCTGTAGGATGAGGTGCACTACGCAATAAGTAGATGACTTTAGGTTGAGTAATGTGTCACTTTAGATGATTACAACTTCTGCTCCAACTAACTGGACAAAAATCTTACTTACTGGCAAAATAAAATGTGTATTGACCAAAATGTTGAGCTTGTAATATCAAATGTCCAAACCAGTGCAAATAATGTGCAGACTAATACATGGAAATGTTTTTTATACTCCTGAATTACAAAATAATGCTGAGACGGCCTGTCATGGACTTACCAGAGAGGTTTTTCTGCCACGCAGGCACACAGACGTGACCCAACCGCCGTGAGTGGGAGGGGCCAACCCGAGCAGAGTTAGCCACGTAGCTAGCTGCTAGCGTTAGCCGTGTAGGTAAGTGCGTCTCTCTATCGCATTTCCCCCCCAGTACTCGTAATTTATCCCCGAGAAAAACCATGGTAATATTTAAAACGCTAACGATAAGGTCTCTTTCTATCTTCTGATCTGGTTTGCCGACAAAAAGCTGAAAATATGACACTATTAACTTAGCTTTTTTGTTGGTTAGCATAAATGACAACAACCAGTAGTTATAAACAACGCTGAGGCGGTAAAGCTTTACGCTAAAAGCGTCCTTTAAATGTACAGACTCTCACAGTTCATGTTGAGGACACGTAGCTAACATATTTTTTGTTTTTACTTCCAGCTACAATGGACGTGCCACATCATGGGTACCGAGCAAGTAAGTGGAAATCTGAATCACCAGGTCGTGTCCTTTTTTTTTTTTTTTTGCAGAATTGTAAACTCGTAGTATCTAGTTCCCTTTTTATGTGCTTTTGTCTGAATAATGATGTGTTACAACAGAGTGAGTCAGGTTATTACGTGAATTTACCCACAAATGATGCAGAAATGAAATATACGTGTTCAAACGTTAGATGATCTTCCTGGTGGTTCCTTGAAATAAAATGAAAGAGGTTCTGTCTTGTTTGGTTTCAAGAAATTTTACTGGAGCTGTTCCTCTTTATGGAGCTGTAGAGACCGAGTTCTTGGATTTATTAAGCAATCTATTTAGTACTCCTTTAGCACGCCCACTAGTAGCATACGTATAGAGGGGCTTAAAAGGACACAACTGCATCTACATCAAGATACTACTTATGTTTTTCAGAGGACAAATCTGTCAGCTACAACCACTGAATCATGCAGATTATAGACTTGAACGAAGTCTTAAAAGTATTTAGGCTAAATGTTAGTTTGTAAATGTGTGTTTGTGTAAAGAAAATGTGCGCTGTGCCCACTCTTGCAGCACAGAGACAAGTTTCCTTATCAAAAATTATTGTTGTGTTGTAATAAAAGCCTGCAGCTACTGCTGGTGTTGTTAGTTTTTTTGTTTGTTTATCTGTTTAGAAACATTTCCCATTATTAAACAATAATGGTTATGTAGGTTATCCATTACATGTGGGATAAAACACCCTCGTAATGTAACACATTTCTCTTTTTGAATAACTTGTTGATTTAGTTAATTGAAATGGAAAATATGTATAAATAATGTAAAGAATAATTCATGAATATGTATAGCTTTTTAAAATACAGAATTTTAATATAAAAATATGTTATGGTTAAAATCTTTACAAACATGAATTATTTTAAATAATAGCAAATCACTGCATTTTGTTTTATTCTGCATAAAACATTTAACATTTTCTCATTAGGAGGTGGTACTTATTAAAAACTAACCTGGGCTAAAGTTTTAAGTAACTACAGTAACATATATAAAAAAAAAAAAATTCCCTTCTCACCCTCCGCGGGTGGTCTCTTTCATCCTCTGAGCTCGGGTCCTCTACCAGAGGCCTGGGAGCTTGAGGGTTCTGCGCAGTATCTTAGCTGTGCCTAGAACTGCACATTTCTGGACTGAGATGTCTGATGTTGTTCCTGGGATCTGTTTTAGCCACT